CACTCTACAAAGTGCCTTGTGTGAGACAACTCGCAGCCCTCCTCAATTGTGTCCTCTATAGTCAACTCGGTGAAAGCTAGGACAGATGGTAAGGTAGTGCTAGCTGGGAACTCGACTGAGGTGACAATCGGTCCTTCGATTCCTCCATCCTAAGCTGACTTCCTGGTGCAGATGACCTTGACAAGCTCGTCAAGGACTCCTAACGTGATGAGAACTCGGCGGAGGGTCTATGCAAAACCCCCGAGCTCACGTAGGTTGAAGGTAAGCTTGGCGTGGTCCAGAGGTAGCGGTCCTAGAGGCGGCCAGTTGATGTTCATTGCCATCTGCATGTTTTAAGGAACAGGTGTTAGCAGGTCAATAAATAGATAAGCCTTGCATAAAAGTAAATGCAGGGTCGGTATATAACCGAAAGAAGGGCTGTTCATGTCCTATTCTATCGTCCATTTCTAAGGGTTTCGTCCTATGGTCAAGTCTGGCTCTGATACCAACTGAAGCGACCCCGATTTCCAAGAAGGGAAATCCACAGTGTCGAAGTGTAATAAGACCATTGTAGATCATATTACCCAAATTCTAGTCGAATATCACATCCATACAACGATAATATCAGAGTACAAATAATGCTGAATTACATAAATTTATTACATCGCCGCATTGGCGGAATCAAAAGTAGCATTGATTCAGAACAGCTTGAAGATAAGATCGCCAAACTCGAGCGTAGGAACGAACCCCTCAACCGTCAAACTCCTTGGAGCTATACTCCTCAGCAGAACCTGTGTGCCAAAATTTATCAGTACGATTTGTACTGGCCACTCCCAACCCTATGAGCATTGCTTTGTGAAAATTGGATACAAGTTGGATATAATCAAAAGGAGCCTATAAGGCTGGGGTTTCCTATGTATTAGTATATCAAGTATTTAATAACAGTTGGTCAAGTTTTAACACCATTCACACACCCATTCCACCCCATTCCCATTCCAGAGCCAGGTTTCGATCCTAGGATCGATATACCACCATCTCCACACCATCACCATACCATACCCATACCATCGCTCAGTCGACAGGCCAACTCCCTCTCGGCACTGTCTCAAGGCCCGTAGCCCCTGGCTACGTCCAAACACTCACTCCCAGGGGAGAAGAGAATGACTCATCTCACTATCTAGTTTAAGCGAAACCTAGGAAAGGTTCATAGCCGACAAGTCGGCATATGTATCGATCGATCAACCATACACTCTGCAAAGGTTTTACATAACCACAAGATCCACCTTCCTCGCTGACCGTCGTCAACTGGGCTGATTCCGGCCGCTTCCTAGCCTAGGATAATGCCACTCTACCATTTAGCCCTGGTACACCCCAAGTCCGGTCTGGGGTGGCTAAAACTGTGAGTCATGAACTGGTTCCACAAGGTCTCCATGAAGTCTCGGAAGGGTGTGGGGGGAATCCTCCACACCCCATACCTCCCTCACATTGTCCGCTATTAACCTAGCAGTAGTGGCAATACCCTACCAAGTAGTCCGGCCGTCCCGCACCATATAGGGCGAGTGGTACGTAAGGCTTCCTAGTGAATCTGAGTACTAGTAAGTCCTTAGGGATGACCAAGCCAGAATGTCTTCATCAGGGTTTCCATTTACCGTGCCACCACAAAGACACCTCCATCACCTGGCTCCTCCCATCACAGTTTCACACCTGTACCACCTCATATACCATTTACCCACCACAGTATCCATTCTAGGGGTGCCTGGTAGCACCCCACTCAAGAAGACTTGCCCTGTGCTCGTCAGATACTCTAACTTGGTCGACACAACCCTCACTCTCCATGCACCCAAGTCACACACGCAGCACTCTCCCCATGGTTCAGATAACACCGGTTTCCACCACGCATTAATGTTGTGCAAGCGTAGTAGAATTAATAAGCAATGAAACATAATAGCAAGCGTGCGACTAGCCTAACAGTAGGGTGAGCAGGGGTAAGGTTGCGTCAAGGTAAAGGCCATCAAGAAAGCTTACTACCATGCAAGTCCTATCATGGTGTGATCATAACAATAAAGTAAAGCACTAGCATTTCTATTTTAGCCATGCGTAATAGGTGCTACGAGATTGGGTGGGATGTGGCACCTTCAGTGTAGTCGTCTCCGTACTCCTCACGGTACTCACGATCCTCGTTCGTCCGGTTCTCCTCCGAGTCTGCAAACGATCGCATTATAGTCGCGTTAGCGACGTCTATAGAATAGCTCAAAGAAGCAATGAAAATTCAAAAGAGCCAAATGCACTCAAACATGTGTTCATTGCGTAGAGCTTGATTTTAGATGAATTTTGGTCCTGGTTTTATATTTTTCTGAGGTCGTATGAATTAGTTATGAATTTCCAAAGATTAAATCATTTCTAAAAATGGAAAAAGGCTGAATTAATCCTGAGCTGACACGTGTCACGTTGTGACTGGTCCACGTGGCATGATGATGTCAACATGACGTCATCGTCTCGGTTCCGTGCTGACAGGTGGGGTCCAACTGACGTCAGCAACGTCATCAGTTCTAACAGATGGGTCCAGGGGCTCTTGGGTCACTGACATGTGGGTCCGGTCAAAGTCAACGTCAGTCAATGTCGAGTCAACGGTCAGGGTCACTGACGTGTGGGGCCAGGGCTGCTGACGTCAGCAGCTGATGTCATCGTGACGTCAGCATGACGTCACCCTAGGCTGTGTTGGCATCTGACGTGTGGGTCCCGCGTGACATCATCATGAGGTCAGCATGATGTCACCTACTAACAAGTGGGTCCAGCGACTCGGTGTCGCTGACATGTGGGGCCAGGTCAACGGTCGACGTTGACCGGTCAACATGGGCCGGGTCTCAAACGGGCTCTGGTGGGCTCGGGTTGGGCCGGTCTGGGTTGGGCCGGGCCGGACACGTGGCAAGCTATGACGCTGCCATGTCGTAGCCGTGGGCCTCTACTGGGCTGTGGTCTTCGGCTATGGGCGTGAGCGTGGCTCACGGTGGACCAAGAGACGCTGGTCCATGGACCGCAGACAGGTCTACAGTGGACTGAGTCCACCCTTCTTCTCTCAGGCACGGTCCATGTGCACCGGGTGTATGCGCGAAGTTGCCGGCGAGGGGGGGTGTTCCCCTGTTTCTCCCGCGGCCGTGCTCTTGCCGACGGCTAGCTCGCTGGTGAGCCTCCGTGGCGGTGCTAGTGCGCAATTGACGTGGGTGGAAGCTCCATCGAGCCTCAGCGTCTTCATTGGTGGGGTTACCACGGCGTGAGGGGTCCCATGGTGTGCCGGCCATGGCGACAGTCTTCCTGGCACGACGGCGGCGCCGGTGAGGTGGCTACGGCCATGGCGAAGCGTCCTGGGGGGCCGTGTAAGCTTCTACGGATCCATGGGGACGCGGCGAGGGCGTCCAGGGCTCAAGGCGGGGCTTCAGGCTTCCAGGTGGCCGGTAGGGGCTCCCCGGGGCCACGGCGACATGGTGACGACGGCGAGGCGCGCAGGTGAACTACGGGGCTCCAGCGGGGTGGTTACGGCGTGGTTGCGGGTGTGCGCGTGGGTGCGTGTGTTCCCAAGGACCGGAGACGGCCCTGGCCTTCGCGCTCCTCGGTGTGGAGCGCCATGGCCGACAAGGTGAGGTCCGGCGGTGGGCAGGGAGAGACCGGGAGGGGGCTCACCGTTGGTGTCGACGGCGATAGGGTGGCGTCACGATGGCGGTTCGAGGTGTAGCTCCGAAGCCGTCTGATGTCGACCACCGACCGACGGATGATGACGACGACGTCGCCGCCCATTCCATGGCAACTCCGGCGACGTCGGGCGCTCCTTCTTCTTCCTCTATCCCCTTTCTCTCTTGGCTCTCTCTCTTGGCTCGGGTGAGCGGTGGATAGCCACAAGGTGGCGGCGGGGCACAGGAGAGCGGTTGGGCATCCGAGGCCGGGGTTTTTATAGCCGCGCTCATCCATGGAGCTCGGTGGACGGTGGATGGAGGACTAGGGGCGATCGGAGGGCTTCTAGCGAGGCTGGGCTAGGGTTCTGGGGCCGTGGTGCGGTCATGGGCGCGACGCCAAGGGGGAGACAGGGTCATGCCCCCGGCGTGACCCCTGGCCCGCTCCTGCCAGTGCTGTCAGGCGCCGGTTGCGTAGGCGGTTGAGGCGTGGGTGAGGAAGACGACACTGTGGACGGGTGTCTGCGGTGACATGCGGGTCCAAATGCAAATGGTCATGTGGCGGCGGCAAAAAAAGTGTGTGGGTGCAGTCTTGCTGGGGGTGAATCACTGGGCTGGCCGCGTGAGTTGGGCTGGCTGGCTTAGCTTGGCCGCTAATCGAATCGGCATGGGTTGTCACTATCATCGCGTGCTAAGCGGCCGAAGCAGACCCGGGTCATGGCTGCGAGGCCCTCTTTCTCATTTCCTTTTTTTGTTTTCTTTTTCTTCTTCCTTGATTTGAATTCAAATTTGGTTTGGGTATTTGAATTCAAAATGGGTGCACCAAATTCATTGGATTTTTAGATATGAGGCCCACCACATACTTATATAAATATTAGGAATTTATTTAGTTATTTTGTATAACAAAAATAGGTGTAGTTTTGTTATACAAAAATATAATTTGTTTTCTCTTTAAACCTTTATTCCCTGGTTTGAGTATTAATTACTTTATGGTGTATTTCTTTAAAGAAGTTGTTAAACATAACATAAAGCAATTGAAAATCCAAATCACAAGTTGAGTTCACAATATATGCCATGTTTCATTGGATAGTATTTAAATATGCATGATTAACAATGGCATGCCATGCTTATGTGTTGACTTGGGTTGGGGTTAGACCTAATGCATCCCTTAGGTTGGGTTACTATACATGACACTCATCATCACATGGGAGTTTTAAGAAATTTTTTTGTAGTTGGTATTTTTAGTGTATGGATTTTTGGGTTGTTACAGTTAATCCATTCATTGTTTTCATAATAACTATATATGTATTCGTACAACTAACACTGACTGTAGTATGGTTGCATGTATGGCCGCAGCATCTGCGGCCAATGTGGAGCACTTCATCCTGGTCACATCCCTGGGCACCAACAAGATCGGCTTCCCTGCATTCCTCTTGAAGTAAGTAAATAAACAGTAATTAATATGAAGTAATTTTAATTAATTGGCTGTGCTACCTACCTTGGGCACGCTTATTATACTATTGGGCTGGGTAATTAAATTAATAATAACTCCTGCTCGTGCTGGGCATATATATATATACATACAAAAATGATGGAACAAGCAGCTTGTTCTGGGGGGTTCTGTACTGGAAAAGACGAGCTGAAGAAGCACTCATCGCAAGCGGCATTCCCTACACAGTAAGTAGCTAGCTAGGCTGCACTGCACTCCATCCATCTCGTCGTTCTTCATGCAATTCAATTCATTCCCTACATCACATCGATCGATCTTCATCACAACCTGCATGCATGCATGGTCAGATTGTGAGGCCCGGAGGCATGGAGAGGCCGACGGATGCTTTCAAGGAGACGCACAACCTGGTGTTGGCACCAGAGGACACCTACGTGGGTGGCCAGGTGTCCAACCTGCAGGTGGCGGAGCTCATCGGATGCATCATGGCCACCAACAGCAACAGGAGGGCGGCCTACTGCAAGATCGTGGAAGCGGTGGCCGAGACCACCGCGCCGTTGCTGCCCATGGAGCAGCTCCTCTCCACAATTCCTTCCAAGAGGGAACCCCCTGCAGCTGACGATGAGCCGCCTGAGGACGAAACGGAGGCTGCAGAGGTGAAGCCATCAGATCCAAAGCAGCCAGAACCCCCAGCACCTGCAGCAGAGTCATCAGAGACAAGAACCGGAGGAAAAGCAGCAGAGCCAACACTGTAACCCTACACGGCGTAAGTAGAGGCACACACTTATATATGCAGAAGATTGTATTGTACTATATATGTCATATATCATACATACATACATACATACATACATACATACATACATACATACATACATACATACATACATACATACATACATACATACATAGCGCAACAAGTGCAAGAAACAGCGTCCTAGCTCAAGCCGGCCCCTCTCCCCATACCCCGCGTAATAAGCAACTTATAATTATATATATTATAAGAGATACATCTATCTTAAATTCTTACTTGCATTATGTAATCGATTGCTTGATTGATTCATGTACACTAGTACGTACGTTTTGTTTTGTTTTGTTTTGTTTCAGATTGGTGGACTTGAAGAAGTCACCAAGCTCGCCGCCTTCGCCTCCGTCTTCTTCCTTGCAATACGTTTTTTATTATATTGGGCTCCAATCCAATGGCATCTTCCCCGCCGCCAGCACCAGACCAATGCATCATATCATCGCCCCATCACAAGAAGCAACAGCGCCCACTTTCACCCTACACAAGGTATAGTACGCTGCGTATATACTAGCACATGCACACTTATATAAATTCACTGTCTTAAATCTAATTGTATTTATTTCACCAATCGATACTATAATTCGTTCATCTATAATGTAGGCACAAGGTCCTTAATCAGAAAGCCTCCAGAGCAAGCTCACCAACCCCGGCTGCGCCCAAACCATAGATAACTCATTACATTTTAGTAATTTAGAGCAGAGAGAGTTACTTCCAGCACTTCTCTCTGTTCATGCATGTCGTGAGTTGGTTTTGTTGGAGTAATATTAATGCGGCTCCGTACGTACGTGCATCGGTGCATGTGTACTATATGAGCCACGGCCGTGAGTATTTGTTTCTTCTTTTCATCTTAGATTAGTTACTTAGGACTAAAGATGAGCAATATGAGCCACGGCCATGAGTATTTGTTTCTTCTTTTCATCTTCGATTAGTTACTTAGGACACTTCTAATAGGATAATTCCGTGGTTTCTATCGGGCAAGCTCTCTACCACAGTCCATCGGGCCGCACCGTTTGTGAATTTATCTAAAGTCACCCAATATTCATATTTAACAATCACACGTGATGACATAATATTTGAGCTTTTATGTTCACCAAATAAATTGCACTCACACCTCGTGAGATAAAACCACTAACCTTTTACCATAATAAATTAAAAAACGGGCCTCCACCGAGATTCAAACTGCCCTCTTCTTTCTCCCACTCACTCAAGCCCTATCACATGGAGCATCAACGCAGATTGGGTCCGGGCCCGGACCAATCCTCGTCACCCAATAACATCCCGCCCTTTAGCCCACACGCTGCATGCACATCTTTACTTCACTTCTAATAGGATAATTATTGTGGTTTCTATCTATCTCTACCACAGTATAATGCACCGTTTGTGAATTTATCTAAAGTCACCCAATAACTGTACACCGTAGGCATAGATTCTTCTAAGTTCACCAAATAAATTGCACCCAGCAGCCACTAACCTTTTAAATAAAAGAACGAGATTCACTCTGCCCTCTTCTTTCTCCCACTCACTCGTATCCAACGCATGAGATTGCTGGGACCAATCCTCGTCACTCATCCTGCCCACCCCACGCTCGCCTCTCCCACTTCACCGACGCCGCAACTCCTCGATTTCTCCCCCACGGACGCCTATCCCCACGCATGGCTCCTCCTCTCCCCAAGAGCGTGATGCGTGCAACTCCTCCTCTCCATCAATCCTCTCCCCCACGCGCGGGCTCGAAACCCTAGCTCAGGCACCGGCCGCGGCGATGGTCGCCTCTCGGCCGCCCGAGGCGGAGGCGGCGCGATGCCATCGCGTGCCTGGAGGTGAGGTTGCCTCGCCACTCTCGGGCGCCAGGACGCGGGAGCCAAGGCGCGAGGCCGAGGGAAGCGCGCCTACAGGGCAAGCCGAGGCCGCGTGGGGCGCGGTGGGTGGGCGGTCGATGCTGCCGCTCTGGCGAGCCTGGCACGGTCCCGGGGGCCGCCGTCGCCGGGGGCGGCTAGGCGGGGTGCACGCGGGGGGTTCAAATGTACACCCGTGCGTCGTGTGCCTGTTGATGATGTTCAAGATGCTGGCGATATCCTTCTCGATGATGACGCTCTTCACGGGGGTCATGACACTGTACGGGGGCTAGGTTGTCGTCTCCTTCTTCACCTGGTTTGTCAGCATTGCGGCATCGCCATGGCCGAGGTCTGCTCCTCCTTCACGGAACATCCCCATGCTGAGTGCCGCACTCTCTCTACTTACATTAGGCTTTTTAGGGACAATAACATCGGCAATTTGCAAAAATGGGACTCGAAACATCGGTTGTTTGCAGATTTAACACTGGACCCACATTCATAGACACAGATGGACCCACTTGTCATCCACCTGAGTGTCATTTTTGCAATTTTTTCAATAGGATCTACATTACATTATTTTTTCAGCAAGTTCTTTGTTTTGTATTAACTTACCAACATGATTTGCTAGATGGAGATGGTTTGCCCTGACCTCTGCTTATAAAGTATTAGGGTTTTTTGGAAAGGTGCCATTACAATTCTTGAAGATTGGAAATATACCATTACAATTCGTCTAATCGCAAGCGTGCCATTAAAATTTTGTGATACTTTGAAATATACCATCGTATACGCCCGACGAACGCTTGGGCCCACTTGCAGTATCCGTGGCATATGGTCGACCGTATCCGTTTATCGCCCGTCTTCATCTAAACGGCACGGTGAACGCCACCGTCTCCACCTCTCTCTCACTCTCACTTTCCCTGTCTCTCTCCCCGAGCAAGAACCCTAGGCTATGGTGGCGGCGGCGATTTCGGCGGTGGTGACGGCGACGATCCCGACGGCGGCGCAACAGGCCAAGGAGACGGCAAGGGGGCCAGTCGAAGGAAAGCAATGGAGTAGCGTGCGCATCAATGGCGGACGCGTCCCAGCGTGGGTCGCCGATGGTGGACGGCGACGAAAGTTACTTTTTCTCTCCTTGCTGAGCACAGAGATGAGTAGATTAGGCCTCGATTTATGCATTGTCGCTGGAGATGTGCACATTTTGATGTGATTTGGTTGATGCTAGGGTTCCACTATTTTCTCTAGAGATTAAAGTGGAAGCATTCTGTATGATAGATTCTTTGGGTAGGAAAGCTTACACAAAGGGCTCTGTGATTAAGTGGGATGTGGAGATAGGCTCGTTTTCATTTGAGTTACTAATGACCAGCTTGCGCAATGCTGTCAAATGGTCTCGTACTCAGTGCCCAACTGCTTGGTACTATGACAAAAGGGTGTGTGAAGATGTCAGACTAGAAAACCAGTTCTAGATGAATGACATATTTGAGATGTATAAGGACCAGATGCGTTGCCAGATTGTTGTAGGAGTGTTTGATCAATCTGTTGCCTCTGTTGATTAGTTTGATGCATTAGAACCTTTATGTGTGATTCCTCCAGACATTGGCAATGCAATCCCTACTGACAGTAATGTTAACCAGCCATCATCTAAGGTAGATGATGCACCAAAGGTTCCCATGGAGGCTGAAGTTGAGCCTGAACTTGAGCCTGACAGGGAGCCCGATATGTTTGATAATGATGAAGAGTATGTGGGTTATGATGATGAGGGAATGTATATGCCAATACCACCAACATAGCCACATAGCAGTTCACAACCTCATAGTAATTCACCTCCACATGTTTCTCATGATGCTGTTAATGATGATGCTCATGCTTTTCCTACTGAGACAGAGGTCAATGATGTAGACCCTGAAGAGATCCATGTGATCCATGACCCAGAGCACCCCAAGATTGAGAAGGGGGAGTTATTTCCTGATATTGTTTCATTTAGGAAAGCTATCAGGCATTACGCTGTGACTAAAGGCTTTGAGTTAGCTGGTATCAAAACAGACCCAACAAGGTATATTGCAAGGTGCAAGGCTGAGCGATGTCCTTGGCGCATACATGCATCTAAGCTACATGATAAAAAGACAATACAGGTAACTGACCATGCACTAGTTCATTTGTGCATTTCTATTTGCTTGACCTGACTTGTTTTCTATGTACATTTCTATTTGCTTGACCTGACTTGTTTTCTATGTGCAGATCAAAGTGTAAGGAAAATGGACCCTTAGCCCATTTACTTTGGATTTTGGTGTTTGATGACCAACACAACCAAATTGGACTAATGAATTTGCAAGTGTTTGTTTTGTAGTCTAATAGGGTGCAAGACGTGACTTGGACGAAGGCGACATGATGATCTGATGATCAACACCTCAAGCAAGACCTTAGAAGCACAAGAAAAGACCCAAGATGTCAAGCAAAGTCCAAGCATGAAGATAGGAACCAAGCCGTGCGCAAGATCGTGAAGAAACGAGCTCGTAGAGGCGACCGGACGCTGGACCGGACACTGAAAGCGCGACCGGACGCTGGACCGGTGGCTCGGCAGACAGGTGACCGGACGCAAGGACCGGACGCTGGCGGCAACCGACCGGACGCAGGAACGCAGCGTCCGATCGAGTACAGAGAGGTTCTAGGCGCGCGAAACTATGACCGGACGCGTCCGGTGGTAGGCGACCGAACGCTGGCAGCGTCCGATCGATAGTTCGCGGCTACAACGGTCGGGACGACCGGACACGTCCGGTCAGGACAATTCAGCTTCCGGTCAGTAGCAGATTTGCGGGAGTTCGACCCCAACGGCTACTTTCTCAGTGGGGCTTATATATACAACCCCCAACCGGCCATTTGAGAAGTGTGGAGCTGAGGAAACATACCAAGGGTGTTGATACACCATTTTAGTGATCTCTACTTGCTAAGTGCTTAGTGTTTCATCAGGTGATTAGCGTAGGTGCTTTGCGATGTGCTTAGGTTGATTAGACCACCGCTTATGCGCTTGCTCTAGGTATATGCCTAGTGTTTAGTGAGGTTTGCATACCTCTTACCACCCCGTGCTTGCGAGCACAAGAGTTGTACATCGGAGGGGCTTGAA